CATGAAATATTAAACTATATTACTTACTTTACATAAACGCAACAAGCGAAAAAAATCGCAACAATCATTGACTTATTAAATAAACAATTATTTTTTAAACAATACACAAACACTAGGAATTGAGATTAAGTTCATTATTTTTTCAATCACATGAAACAATAGTATTAAAACCAATGTTAATAGAAAGTGCCACATCTAACAAGTCATCAAAGAGCCATTTATTGCACGGTGCCTATCCTCCATTGATAGACAATCAAAAGCCATTCTATTTTACCCTTCACATCTCGATTAGAAAGTTACTACGAATACTCGAATCGATATTTGAATCAATCGACAAGACCTTTGACATTTTGTTAGGACGCCTTTACATTGACATATTTTTTTATTAAATCATCAATTATTTATTTGACTGCTGACTGAAAACAATTTCCACTTGACGGATGGCTACGCGATTCTGTACCCTGTGGAATAATTCCCGAAATAGGATTCTATGGGGAAGTGCATTAAGATGCAATTCCAATAAATTTATGTGTTAAAAACTTATTACGAGATCTTTTATTACTACACGTTATGATACCTAAATAATTTAACTAAATAACAGGTAAATAATTATAAATAATACACAATACCGCTACAAAATACCGTTACAATTAAACTACTAATTATAATTTTAGTAACGTTATAACTTCAAATGGTAGATTGTTTGTTTCGTTTCTCATTTAAGCACTTACATTTTTCTAGCAAAAGAATAAAGCTACTAATGAACGCTAGTATGGGAATCCTTAGAGATAGTTTGGTAAAAGAAATACACTAAGGAACTGCTTAAGATACCATTAAACTACTTTGAGTGAAAAAAGGTAAGTTAAAAACAATGTATTTTGATTTATGTAAACACGCCCTAATGTCAAAAGTCGTAACGCCTCTTATCCATTCTCTTGAGACTAGTAATGGGACACCACTCGCTAAATCTCGAGGTCTACCACTCTGCACTGAACAGATTGAGAAAAATCAAGGCAATATAGCTCTTAATTCCTAGGACATAATAGTAATAGTTGTACAAGATCGCGTTTAACGGTTTCCTTCAAACGCATCGTAAAATTGTATAAACCAGTTAACTTCAAATTGTTTACGTCTATATCGTTATTGATTAACAACAAGCAATATTTCATACATGTTTAATGTTTTCATACAGATTTCTTATTACGAGTTATGATTTTTGGAGAGTTATGTTGGGAACAAAACTTATTTATACATCCTTCAAACATCTTACTTAAGAAATAACAAAACAGAAGCAAATTTTATAATTTATGAAAGATTTTGAAACAAATCATATTTTTTTTATAAAACGTTGCCGTATAACGTATAAAAATTTGCTAAAACTATACAGAAATCACTTTAATAAAGCGAAAAAGACCGACTTCCCAAAAGAAGGAGGTCCTCAATTCGTCTGTATGGTTTTTTTTCTTCTACTATTCTGTAAAACTGCGTATTCTGTTTTAGGATTCATTGAAAACCGGCGCTTCGGTGTACACCGCAGCACATGCCGAATGAATTCCTTTTCTTTTTTTTTAATAAACTGATTCTTTCTTTCTTATATCAACATCTCGTATGGTAAACATAAAAAAAGTTAAACACATTCTGTGCTTATGATTGTAAGTATTTACAAACCAGCAGGGCAGTGGCATTTGACGTGTTAACTTAGGCAAGACATAGTCCGACGTCTAGCTGAAGTTATGCGGAATTCTATAAATAGTGTACAAGGAGCGTGGGCTGAATGGCTATTGGGGGATTTGCATGTAAAATTAACGACCTCATACTTGGAAAACATGCCCACACTACATTAATAGTAAATTCTAATAGGAATGTTAGCAAGATCAAGAGATCAAGGCGATATAACCGAACGTTGTAATGAACTAACGCCTCATACATACTGTTTTTGAGACTTTAGAAAATACACAGAAACCAAAATAAATTTCGATGAGCAAACGTAATTTTCCTTACTTCCTCTATAAAATCCATAAGAAAAACATATAGGAAAAAGAAAAAACCTTTCACTGATTAATGTATCGCTCATTTATAGATATATTTTTACAACTAGTTTAACACCTGAGACTTTTAAGACGGATACACCAATTATCCTGTGTAGATAAGATTATGTTAGCGGTTGTAATCGCTTTTACAGCCGTGGACGTCGCGTGATGTTTTTTTACCTTATGATTAAACAAACGAACTAATTTCTAATACCAATAGGAGGTCGAATTATAAAATATCCGGCTGACAAGATCACCATGTAAAGGTGCGTTTTCACGGACGTCGATTAACAAAATATTATTTTTAATGACGGCCTCGTCACTGATTCGAGGATACGATTTGCACCTTGCCTCGTCTACGTGGAATAATGCCTTAGAATTCTCCGCGTGTTTATACACAAATTACTAAATTAAAAATTAAATTATTTCGTGAAATAAACTTATGTTTTTCAACAAAAAAAGTAGTTCGATTGATAAATAATGACTGTGCAAAATTTACTAACTCTTTAAAAATTGGCTTTTGCGTTCGATTGTAATTTTGTAGTTATAAATAAAATCTGTAAACAAAATTTGTGCCAAATCTTCATATAATTTTAAATCAAGTTTAACATGCCACATTCTGTACCTAATTATTTTGTTTGTGTATCTAATTATAATGTATAGGTGCATAGTACCAGGTTTATTCACAAAAAAATCATCTAATTACAAATACAAAGTATAGAAATTCAATTATTTTTGGGTATTTGTTGATATGATGTAGTAATAATAACTACTAACAACTTGTTTTAAAAAAAACAATTTAAAGACACAAAAACCAAAAGTATTATGCCAATTTAAAGAAACAGATTGCTTTTAAGTAGAGTCTAGAAAAACATAAGAAATCAACTCATTATGTTGATGTAAAAGATAACAAAAAAGGCATAATTTATGTAATGAATGCAAGAAATCAAAGAATTAGAACTGCGGTACTTTGTATTGAATAATAAAATACTTTTTATACAGTTCTAAGCCAAGGAAAAAGGATAACTATTAGAGAACTGTTTAAATGCAATAAGCACAATTCTATGAAGATTAATTATGTTAACTTTTTATAATACTAAGGCAGCAAAGATAACAAAAGAGTAGATAAGTAATGTAATTTAGATTTTTACATTAAAAGGAACTTGCATGTCAATTTTTTTTAGTACATTGACATTTTATCTATACTATTATAAGAAATTGTAAAAACACACTTCTTTGTTGCCTAAGATGTCAGCAATCACAGCATATTTTTAAATAATTCATTTTTTTAATGAAAAGCCCTACAGTTACGTCACACTTTAGGCTATATATTTTCACGCTATTAAACTTAGTTGATTTGATAAATAAATTGGATAAAAATCCTGTGTGAAAGAGACCATAATTTGCTACCAACATCAAGGAAGCAAGATTGTCATTAAGTCATGTCATTTTGACATTTGCAATTGAATTTGACAAATGTAATCAATATAACAATTTTCATAATTTCATGTGAATGAAGTCGCTTGGGGACAGGTAGTTACATATAAAGATTGAATTCAAGTGAAAAAAATTACTGACAATACCAAAAAACCATAATTCTTTATAGATAAGTGGTAGATATAGAAAGTAAATGCTGACAAAAGATAACAGATACAAGTTACATATCTGAGTGCATGAATCACACTGAAATGATAACATTATTTTGTTACTGATAAAAAGTCAGGAAAATATAAAGTCAAAGGTTACAAACCAATATTATTCTAGTCTATACTCATATAATAAAGAGGAAAGATTTTTATTTTTCAATTTCTGTATGTATTTGATTCACATAATGACTACTGGGCCGATTTTAAAAAATGACCATTTAAAAGCTATGTTATCAGTGATTAACTTAAGCTATATATTTATTTATTTTTTATTTCATGTGGGCTAAGTCGCAAGCCTCAGCTAGTTGTTTATGAAAAAATAGAATTATAGAGTGACAATACCAGTAAGAAAAATCACAAAAACCTAGTATTTATTTTGATATTATTTTGATCTGCTGAAATAACTATAATATAAACTGTGATTTTTTTTAAAGAGTAGGGGGCAAACAATGGGGTAATCATTGACTGCCTCCATCCTTTTTACTCTTGTTGTGAAAAACAAAGATAACAGTATTTTGTTGTATAGATTATTTGGTACATCACTCAATAACACTGTCAGTGGAGCATTTTTTAAATAGTTATTTATTGAAAAAAAGACCATTTTACATATTTTAAAAATTGCATATAAAGGTATTTTTATTGGTTTTAGCGTAAAATACCTTTACATGTATTTTTGTTTTTTTTTTTCTAAATTCAAGTTTACCCTCGGCTTTTTATACAACAAATGAAAATTAGATAATAGACCATTTATAAATAAGTTATAGATAAACAATCTTAATGATATAGTGAATAAAGGTGACATTCCCATGATTGACGTCATGCACTGGTAGCATTGACCTATTTGACTGGAGGCCTTATTGTCTCAATGCATTCAATTGGTTATGGCCATTACAATTTAGTGGACTATGATTTTTGTTAAACTTCAACATAAGCATGATATGTAAGAAAAATACATAAATAAGTTATATAAATATATTATTAGAAAATAAAGAAAATTTATGTCATTATAAAAAATTAGAAAAGTATACTTAGTAACAATGAAACAAACATGAATCAGGAGTGGAATAATGAAGCAACAAAAATGTAAAAAAAAACAAAATATTTGAGAACTTTTTTGAAGTTGGTTGAAATTCTCAATACTCATAATTTCAAATTATACTTCTAATGAAACAAATTTTTAAATAAAACCATCTTAACTTTACAACCGCAAAATGTCCATGTCCTTTATAAAGATCATACACACAAAAGGTTGTATGAAGACCTGAAGATAATTTACATTTTAACAATCTTGATGGTCTAATTGTTGATTTTACTTGTATCATACCTGAGTGTGCAAGCCTTCTGCCCACAAGTGGGCTGTCCAGCAACAAGCGTCGCAGGGACCAGCGGCCGAGCACGCCGCCACCCCAGTTACACCCGCCGCCACCGCTGCTGCTGCTGCCGCCGCGCCGCATCCCGTCCCTCTCAACCATCACTAGCACATCACACTACACGGTACTTCTTAAAAACTATTTATTCATACACTACTTCGATAGCATACGGTTACTTCGATGTCGTTATCCTCCAGACTCTTTGTACACAAAAAACTACAGTACAAATTACTCACTGGCAACGCATCAGCGAGAGAAAGTGCTGATGACCAGACGGTAAGTACGTGCCTACGAGACCGTTCCTATCCAAAGATGCAGTGTACAGAAAAGGATCGGAATCTCACAAGAAAACTCATCTTTATCGAGTCCAATCAGTAGGCAATGAATATTTTATCGCGGTAGCAAACGAGGAATTGATATAAGTGATGAGTACAGAGTACATAAAAATCGGCAATGGATTATTTATCAAAATAAAAATGCGCTAAAGACCAAGCGATAACAGCGCAACAAAACACGCAACTCGACACAACTGTCAGATCGAGACAAACTTGAAAAACTCAAGAAAGAAAGGTGTCCGCTCTAGTGATGTACAGTACAGTCTTAATCGTAAATATTCGTTTCCCAGAGTGATAGGGTTGGAGCGAATCGACTATGACTCGTTTTATTTTATTTTAGGTCCTGGCAACATTTTTTTTGTAACCAAGATTTTATTAATAACCATTTTTACAAAAAGTAAATTATTGTTGTCTTCGTAATCTATTTTTTTTACATCTTCATTATTTCGTTGATTTTAGATATAATGAATGAAGATCTTTGCTCAGTCCAGTCAGCATTCTTTCTGCCCGATTCAAACAGTACATTTGGATAGTTACAACGGCAAGCGATACTCATTGGAGCCTGTTAGCATTCTCAATTTGCCAGTTGATAGACGGCCAAATCAGATCGGTACTAACCAACTGTACTGACCAAGTGTAAACCGAGCACTCTGTCGCCCACTACCATCTTCAGTTATAGTGTCACAAGGATATTGTGGCACCTTTTTGACATTGACAGGGTGGCGCCTCTGAGCATTTAGGGCTACCAGCAAGGTAATATTTCCGCATTAAAGGGAAATTCTTTCCTTTTGAAAACGAAAACGCAAAGGAAGTACTTGTACCTTACAATGTAACTTGGAAATGCCCTAGACTTCGTTTGTCGGTTAGAAGGCTCTATAGTTAAAGAATCTTTGTAGCAAACTTTTAGCAATGCACTCTCTTGAGACATTTAGGGAAGGAATAGTCTTAACATAATAGAAATAGTCTTACTTAGCGCTCATCTACAGAATAATAGAAATCTTAATTATTGTTGTTTATAATCAATGCACAGTACAAGTATGTGGTTAGTTTTTGATACATTAATGGGTACACAGAGTAACTTCCTTAATACGTAAGTAAATATGAAATTAACATCAAGAAGGCCATACTTCCAGGTGCACAAAACACGTTACAATAAAGGGTCGGACACTGCAATTTGAAACAGGAAATAAAACAGCTTTCAGGAAAATATTTTTAAGTTAATTAGTATATAACATTTTTTTAAATTGCAAATCTAAAAATATGCGTCGCTTTGAGAGTTAGGGAATTTCTTGATTAACAAATGGTAACAAATTCTGATTACAACAGACACAAGATGATTTACATTTTCAAATGTAATTACTGGACTCAAATGTAATTACTGGACTCCCCTACTAATTCTCAGCAATAAAAATATCTCCCACTAAAAAAAACTCTCTTGCACTACTTTTAAACGCTTTCAACGCTTTATTTTATGGAATAACATTAAAAAGTCACACAAAATACGTAAAGTAATGACGCAAAGTGAACTGACTGACAAGCTATGTCACTATTACCCTGACATTAAATGTCACTTCTCATTGCCGGGTGCTACAAGATTCATGTACATCGTACATCATTCATACATATCTGTTGTAATTTGTTATCTATGCTTTCAAGTCAATTATCAAAAACAATCAAGCGATAGAAGAGAGATTTTTATTATAAGTTCTCAGATTGAATAGTAGAATTTTATTAAAGGTTTCTTATTAGTTTTAAAATATATGCGTCAGAATGGATCTAAAAATGTTACTATTTTTTACTTTGTTCGTCTTAATTTCTAATGTTTCGTGTAAAAATAAATACAGCAAGTCGGCTAATGAGAAAAAGAAAAGTGATGTGGACTTTAGGA